GCACAGCAAATTCACCATATAAAAAGGGCATTGTCTAAAATCTAGGTAATGGGAAGCAATGCAAATTCTAGACGGATAACTGGATTTGAGGAAACTCCATAAAAGAGTTGTTTCCAAATAGAGACGGGGGGAGGAAGATCTCAATTCAAAAGTGGAGGACTACCTAATCCTTCAAAGAAAAGCTTGGGATCTTGTTAAGCTTAGAGAAAAACTTCCCATGGAAATAATAAATAGAATGAGAGCCATCCATACATTCGTATTTATGGAAGAAAAGAAATAATACGATCTTTAATAACAAATCCTACTCCCCACAAGAGATGGTTATAAAAGCTTAGGCCAGTCTAAATGAATTTTTAGATTTGAATAGATTTCTTTCAAATCAACCTCCTGAAAGGGTGAAAACTCTCAAGTCTTGGACCCCGCCTCTAATGAATAAACTCTTTGATGCATCAATTCTATAGGATGGAAGTTGTGCCTTTGGAAGTATAGTAAGAAATTTTAAGGGCCAAATTCTCCTAGCCAATAGGGGACATGGCCATTACTGTTTCCGAAATATGGGCTGCTTTGAAGCCCATAAATTAGATTTTCAATTTCAGGACATGCCTGTCATTTTTTATATATGGAGGCTTGCTGATTACCATCAAGTTAAGGCTCTTCAAGAAGGTGTTCACCCAATTCATGCAGCTGCTTCAAGACTAATTGTTTTGCAAGAACCCTTCCCTTTGAAGCTTCTTTTCTTCATACTTTCAGACAAAGTAATGGGCGCATCTGATTGGCTTGCCAACAAAGGTAGGTCCATCATTAGGACGTCCCGTGGGGTCTTAGTTTTATCTCCTTGTTCGACATTAATTACGGGTCCATTCCTGCTTCATCTTGTTTAATTTCTCCCTTTATATAAAAAATATCTCTTATTTGTTTACAAATTTTCTGCTTCATGAATCTATGCCTCTAAAGCTTGTTACTTGTGCAATTTATGATTGTTGGCTGTCCAGGAAAGAGATCAAGTAAATTGAACATACCACTGCTCTTCATGCATATATATTTAGGTTTACATTTTATTTTTATTTTTATTTTGAATGTTGTTGAAAAATGAGAATAGTAGAAATGAGTGTGACAGAAATAGCATGTCCAGAAAATGGGTGTGATAGAAATGCAAAGGCTTAAATGAATGAGTCATGAAACTGAAAAGAATAGGGTTAGAAATGAAACCATATGAAGATAAAATAACTTAGAAATAACTCGAATAGGTGTAACTGAAAACGCTAAGACTTGAGTGAAAGTAATAAGAAATGATAAATAGATGTGACATAAAGGCTAAGACTTGCAGTTTTTCAACCCACTGATACTTTTGTTTTAAATGCTAATATATGATGTGACAAGACCGACAAAAAGTGAAAAAAAAAATGAAGTTTCAATTGAACTCTTGCATCTACGATTGAAACTCTGCATATGCGTATCAAGAGCATCAGTACTTCGAACTTTGGTTGGGATAAAGGCTTAGATAGATGATGAGGTTGAATATTAATTGTTTAATAACTAGATTAAATGTGAGTAGTTTAAGGTTGATAGATAGTTGCTTCAAAGAAAAATCCGAACGTACACAGCTATACATCTAAGTTAAGAAGAAGATGATTAAATTTTGAGCAAAGGATAAACAATTAATGCATAGACATATGAGTCGTTGATGTTGCAGAGAAAAACCCTTCTTCAAGCCTCAACTGCAATTTGCAAAATATAAGCCATCTCTCTGGTTTCTTGAATCTTTGCTCTATGATGAATATAATTTATCAGTTTCTGCCACCATTTTCGGCGTCTCCCTATGCTATGCTATAGATAATGGCCCATTCATAAATTCTTTAAGGCTATCAGATGATGGTGAAAGCTCACATCTCATATCTGGTGATGAGATTTCAGTAGGCTGGAACTTTGAATTGTCAATGTGGGCTTCATGTCTGTTTCACCATTTTCTTTTCAAAGCCGTCCACTTCTCATTTGCTTGCTTATTGGGCCCACTTGTGAAAAAACGTACAACCCCATTATGCAATACATGTGCTGACCAAGAGTTTGTTAATTGTTTGGTAGTGTCCCTAAGTTGCCACATTAATGCTACATTGACAATTCAAGTTTATGTTTCGAGAAACACCATATTTTGTGTTGGGTGTTGCACATTGGGGCCGGGACCTAGGAGGAAATTAGAGTCAGTTTGGAAGGACTATGGATGCAAATATGTAGAGTGTAAAACCTTGTATTTTATATTATTTTAAAAAATATTGTTTTGTATGTATTTGTATTCTTTCTAAACTGAACCTTAGGCTGCGTTTGGAAACGATACAAACGGAGTGTATATCCCGGTTCAAGGAAAATTTACACTTTGGTTCATTTTTGCCTGTGTTTGGCAACATTACATTTATGCATCGACAAATGACAGACCAATGCATAGTTACATTGATTATAAGATGTAAAAGTATATCAATAAAAAAGAAGTAAATTTTTATTCAAGTGAACTTTTGATAAAAAAAAAATATATGTTTGTTTGGTAAGAAGGTAAATTTGTCGATGCAAAAATAACACAATTTTGTAATTTATATGAACTATTTTACACTCTACAAATTTACATTCACACTTATTTACATCGTTTCCAAACACAGCCTTAATTTCAAAATAATGGAAGGGTTTTCCCACTTCATATTCCTTTCTAAGTGTTACTTGTTTCTTGCTAAAACGTCTTTCTTGTTCCTATTCAGCTTATTCAAGCTGAAAAGTTCCGGCTAGGGGTGTAGGGGTGCAAGTCGGATCAGGGTAGGTCGGGTTTAGGTCAACCCTAACCCAATTCAAGCTGTTGAAGCTCCAACCCTAATCCAACATGAAGTGTTAGGTCAAATGAATACTTTTAAAAGTATGAAGGGTTCAGGTTGATCCAATTTTAAACCCTAACCCTGACTGGAACTTTAACCTAACCCAACTATTTTCGGCTGGGTTTTGGGATGTATTGAGGCTAATCCGGTCCAAGTTGAAGCTATAGTTCCAGCCATGATCAAAGTATTGACACGCTTGACATTGATTTTAACGTACTGAGTGTGTCAAAGCATGGATACTCCCAGCAGTAAAAAGTATTGTGTCAAATTCTTACTCAAGAAAAGACACTATGAAAGGATTTTAACCTTTTGAAAATCTACCTCAACCCTAATTTTTATATCAACAACCTCAAAAATTTAAAGGATTAACTTTTTGCCCTAAATATAATAAAAGAATAATATTTTTATAAAATAACTAAAATAAGAAAACTTTTTTAGAAAAATATTCATCGTCTTCCTCTGCCTTATTCATTTGTATTCATGCCAGCCATTTCAACGGGTCAACGGGTTCCGACAGTCCATCCCGCGTGCCGGAGGTTTCAGAAGTCGGAATACGATGGGCTCTATGTGAGACTGGTTCTTCCAGCAGAAGAAGTAGAGCAGCTCCTGGCAAAAGGAATGCTGCATGTTCTCATCCTTCAAGCATTCGACCACGTCTTCTACCTTGAAATCGAGCTTCTGGAATGGGGTCATTCCCGCGTTGGCTTCATTCCCAACCGGTAATCAGCTCCGGACACAATAAAGGGATTTTCAGTTTTTCTGGGAAACGTTGGCCACGTCCACACCGTCCGTGGACCCACGATAGACGATTCCGGTGCCACCAATGATGTTCTCTTCCTTCAAGCATTCGACCTCGTCTTCTACCTTGAAATCGAGCTTCTGGAACGGGGTCAGTTTCCAAACTTTTGATTCGCAGCATTTTTCCCGGTAGCTTTTGAGCTTTAAAGTTGCAGTGACAAGGCCTAATAGAACAAACATGCAGCATTCTCCCCCCGTGTTTGACCAGCCTGCATTGGCTTCATTCCCTGCAACAAAACTCCACCGGCGAACCTGACTTCACCGGGGTTTCCTTTTGCCAACCCTTCCAAGGAGCTGCTCTACTTCTTCTGCTGGAAGAACCAGTCTCGCATAGAGCCCATCGTATTTCTTTCTGGAACCTCCGGCACGCGAGATGGACTGTCAGGACCCATTGACCAGTTGAAATGGCTGGCATGAATACAAAGGAAGGCAGAGGAAGACGATGAACAGTGCTATATTTTTCTAAAAAAGTTCTCTTATTTTATTTATTTTATAAAAATATTACTTTTTATTGATATTCAGGGCAAAAAGTTGCCTTTATCTGCTAGAAATCCAAATTTTTTAAATGCACATCGATGTCAATGACCCTTTTGATCAAGGGTGCTTAATTTCAAAACTAGCAGAGGCCTACACATCCCTAAATCTAAATCTAAAGCTGTACCATTCTCTATTAATGTGTCTAATGACTCTCTTGTTTTCTGATCAGATGCGTCATGCGTGGAAGTTGAAAGCATCTGATAATAGTCCACTTTTCTTATCATTGCATGTTTTATTAGAAGGATGTCCCATTACTTTATGAACTTTTAGGCAAGATGTATGAATGAATCACATGTAAGCTCAAGCATGAAGCATCCATAATGGCTGCAGGAACAACACATTGGCACATCAATCTGTTGATGATCCGGATGGGCTGGCCACCTCATTGATGGGATATTGACGTTTGATCTAAAAATTAATTATTCTGGTGGTGAACATGGAAGAATTAAACTTATTGTACCCACCCCACCCTATCTCATTTCACAGTAGCTAAGTCGTGTTTTAGCCCTTCTGATCAGTGATCAACTTGGATGATCAAAGAATAGACCACTAATAATAATTAGTTGCGTTTGGATAAGTTTCAAATGCCTTCACAATCACATATATTAGGCTTTGTGTTTTAAGTTTTAAAGGTGTTTTCGTTTTAAATTATTACTCAACCAAAAGTTTATCCAAATGGAGGTGGAGCCCAATCAATCATATATCTTAGTAAACATTTCTGATTTCCCCTTCCAAATTCAAAACCAACAAAAAAACTAATACGAACCAATCTATTAATCACTATGAACACCGAGCTACCTGATTAAATCAATCCTAAAAAAAAAAAAAAAAAACTAAAACTGAATTTTTAACAAATAAACATTTGAAGACCTCATTAATTCCTGCTACAAATACTGCTAAACGAAGATGAAGCCAATGACTGACATGATAAACAGCACAAGAGTTGAAGCAGAAACCCCAGTTCTCATTGCTGCTGCACCACTCTCCGTAGGCGAACTGTTCGTCGTCCCATTCTGGACACTAGGCGGAGGGCTATTTGCAGTCTCCTGCAGCACCTTTATGATCATCTTCTGTCCCTTCTCACAATGCCCGACGACTCCACTGATGAAATAAAATAGGCCCGAGCGGTTCAATGTGAATGTTGTGTCTCCATTGTTGGAGAAGAACATAGGTTGGGTGGAGTGGCATTTGTCGTAGTCTGATTCACTCACCACCATAACTGAATCTTTCTTGTACTTGAAACCTGAAAATCAACACACTTTGCATATCAAATGCATACCTCGAGCAGAGAACAAATTAAAGACAGCATAAAGGATTGAGTGAATTGAATGAAGGAACTTACGGACGGTGTCGTCGACTTGGAACCTGTTTTGTGATGCCCATTCGTTGTACATTTGCTGGTTCTTTGATGGGGGAACTTCCCAGCCTTTGTCATCGCCAACCTCGAACTCGATGGAGTTCACAGAGAGGAATAGATCAGAACAAGGGAAGAGAACTAGGAAGAGCAAGATTTTGTAAGAACCCATGAAGAGAGAATCCGTATTTAATCGGTCTTTAGTGAGCTCTAAAGTTTGAACTGTGGTGGGAGATGGGTATGATAGTGGAATGTTAGTACTTATCAGAGCTGACCTGAGAGATTTAAAGTTGAAGGATTTCTCAGGCAGTTACGAGTTAGTTACAGAGAAATTTGATGTGGAGGCAGTGGGTTTGTTGGGGCGTAGAAAATGGGGAGATTTGATGTGGAGGCAGTGGGTTTGTTGGGGGGGAGAACGTTGCTGTAGATCTAGATCTTAACTCTTATGTCTGACTTGGTCTCACCGACTTCCCAACAAAGATAAGGGTGCTACTATAATTTAGCGAGTCATTGTTGGTTGAGTTGTGACTCACTCACTCGACTAGTACTGCAGTAAGCAACAGCTTTGAATTGAAATTAATAGTGGGTTTCTTCTTGTTTTCTTTACAACTTACAAAGACTGAGGTTTTCTGTCTAGATCAATGGTTCAAGGATCAGAACCGAGAAGGAATCGTAAATGATGATCCAATTTGGTTCAATCTATCTGCAGGTTGAACTTCTGTAGTTGAAGAAAGTTTGCAATTATAATTTTGTTTGACTTCTTCAATCTGATTAGTACAACGTTGAAGTTTTTCAAATTTGAAATTTCAATAGCTTTCTTCCTAAAACAAAGGATCCTTCTTTCGCCATGTGAAAGGGCTGTTGCGCCTAAGTGTGTACGTGGGCGCTTTCAGTCCATACTATTAAAATTACCACGTGGCAAATCGTTTGCAAATCTAGAGGGAGAAGCAAAAATCAAACACCACTTCTTAAGAAAAGAGGAGTGCGAGCATCATATTATGATGCACATATGAAAAGGATGAGATACATATATAGGATATTCCATTCCCATCTCATCCATAGGTCAGTCATGTGATCCAACTGCTATCACGTACGTAGACATATTTTGGCCAAAGTCATCATCAATTCTACGGCACATGATATAATTATGGTTACATCAAAACCGAACGGGGACCCATCAACCAAACGGTCTCCGCACCATCACAGATGAACACTGCATGATTTACCTATATGATTGTTGTAGCCAAACCATGTGTTTCATGAACCAACCCCCTTGGGTTCTGATCCAACGGTTGTCAGCTTAGATTATTTTCTTCTTAGAGTGCTCAACAGTGTCAAAGATTATAGTAAAGAATAAGATATATGAATCACATGCCAACAGTGTCAAATTAAGGATTAGATTGATTCTTGAATATATTAATAAACAAAGTAAGTTACTTGTTTAAAATGCTTTCAGCAACTATCCTACTTCAGCAATAGTTAATGGAGAAAAGCTAATTAATTAGGTGGATGGATGGCCTTGTTTTATCTTTCGTTTCCCACTTATTAGTTATGGGAACGAGATCTTGAGCTTGTCATGGTGTCACAGTAGCTGCTGATGGGTGCAACAGAGTTTCTCAACCAAGACACTGACAAAGACCCCCCCTCCCTCCCCAGTCCTCACCTCTTTTGCCCAAAAAACTGATCGAGATCAACATCATTAAAATATCGTTGAAATGTTCGTCCTTGATTTCATCAGAGAAGAAACAACAACGTGTCTTTGTAGTAGATATCAATGACAATAAGGTAGCTAGCTGTTCAATATTGATTAAAACCAGGATTTCTATTTCTAAATTCAAACTCAAGAAAATAGAGATAGCAGATACTTAGTTTGGTGGTTAGTCAACTAATCAAGATCATATAGCAGACTGCAGACCCATAACTAAATAATGCTCAGAAACTGATCAGAACAAACGAAAAGCTTAAATGAGTATATTATATGATATATCTTAATATTACAGGTTTGATCGATTACACTTGTAATGCTTGAACAAATAAATATATTTCTGTTCTACATATATATACAAAGAAGAATCACGTACCAAACCCAAGACTCTGCTCCTTTTGTGATCCGAATTCGTTAGCATTCCATCGGATCAAACAATCCCTCATTGATATGTCAAGACAAACCCAGATAAAATAACCAGGAAGAAAGAAGAAAGAAAAGGTTGTGGCACAGATTGTTAACTACTCAGTTACGAGTAGAAGCAACCGCTGAATTGTGCCTCTTAGATGGACCAGAAGGAGGAACCCTGGTTCCTTTGGGGAAGAAGTTGAAAAACTCTCCTTGGAAGTGAAAGCTTCGTTGGTAAGTCTGACGGCGAGGAACTGAATTCTCTGGATTCGTCGACGACCCATCTAAGTTCATCATTCTTCCTAGTCGACTTGCAGTGCAGAACCCAGAAAGGAGCAGAAGAAGTAGAAGACAGCATGAGATCAGATATGCAGGTTGAGAAGAAGAAGTAGAAGAGACAGAAGAAGCCATATTATAGAGAGCTTGTTTTGGGTGGAGTTGGAACTTTTTGATCTTAAGAAGAGGAGAGGTTTTATATGTGCATGGGGAAGGAAAAAAGAGAGAGATTGTCAGGAAAAGAAGAAAGCTAGAAAAGTGAAACACACGCCAACGGATAATAAGAAATATGAATATTATATATATATGTATGTATGTCAACGGTAGGAAAAGAGAAAGGTTGGGTGCCGCCCAAGTTCATCTAGCACTTGCCAAGGGAATTTTCTACGAAATTGCTGGGCAGTCTAGCCTACGTACATTGCAATTACTCTTTTACCCCACACCACAGCCAGCCAGCCATGTCTTTTTCCAAACATCCAAGCTTTTCTCTAGTTAATAGTTATGGTGCAAAAAATGAAACTTGTTTGGATGTGTTGATTTGATCTCAGAAATAGTGTTATGGGTGGTTATAAAGAGGAGGAGTTTAGTTATGAAATCAACCCAATTACAGTCTAATTTCACTTGGGCTCATACGTACAAGGACTATATATGATAAGTGATTATGGTTATGGTCTGAAAGAGTAATGGAAGCATATAGAAAAGTCTTCTGGACCATAAAGAATTAAACATGGTAGAGGTGACTAGGTGGGCCTCAACCACCTGATCATTTAGGTGCACCTTAAACGTCACTGGTGGCAATTCATAGACCATAATTAGGGTGTCCTTGCTTTGAGTTCAATGTGCACGCACCCTTCATTCCTTCATATATACATGTTTCACTTGCCAAGGGCGAATGTCTCTCTGTGCGTGAAAGAAGCCCAACTTCAGTCAAAGTCTGGGGGCATAGGAATAGTTTAAAATGAAAAGAAACAAAGTCAAGGAGAGCCCACTGAACTCATAGAGCATGGATTTCACAATACATTAATTATGCTTGGTTTATCTCAAGACAAGATGATGATCAAGATAAAAACTCTTGCACGTTCTTTTCCTCATCAGACTGTTATGGTTTAGGGTCCCCACACATGAATGATACAACCTACCACGTAAAGAGCAAGTTGTGTGGTTTCTGGTGTGGATGGAACAATCCAACCCAACCATTTACTAGGCCCCACGTGAGATTCCTTAAGGAGAGATGATTCATCCCATTTGTTCTATCATGCTATAGTTCCCCTAAATGGACTTAAATGGATGATGGGTCCTGGCCATAAATACCTAATTCCCTTGATTAGTCTAGGAATTAGGCAAATTCTTAGATAATTATTAGGCCATTTCGTCATCCTCTCTGAAATTTTGGATATATACATATAGGGTAATTAAGTTCCCTTTACAGTGGTCAAGAGTGTGGTTCATACGATATTGAAACTTTAATATGTAGTCTTAGATAGATAGATAGATAGATAGATAGAGAGATAGAGAGATAGATAGATAGAGAGAGAGAGAGAGAGAGGATTTGTGGGAAACAAGGAAACACAAGCAACGGGTGCTTGGGAAGGATGTTGAGGTGTGGGGACTGGGGAGGGCCAAGTAGCTGATTTGAAGGAATTACAGCTGCACAGTCAATAATACTTTATACCAGAAAAAATCTAATAATATGAAACAGCTCTTGGAAGGTCTACGTCGTTGTCTTGAGAACAACTCTCTCTTGAGTTTTTGTGCTTTGAATGTTTCTTCTTTCTTCCTCTCCAATCTTTATTATCTCTTTGTAAAAAACAAATCAATGGAGTGATGGATACTTCAGATATATTCAACTAATAATCGCCTTTTTAAGTGTACCAACTACCAAGGTAGGCTGACTTGGTATACGAGATCACTATGCTTTGCTTAAAAATAACAGATTTCAAGCTTTGATTGACACGCTTATTATATTGGATGCTAATCATTCGATATCGCAATACATTTGGATCGCAGCAATGAAGACCATTCTGATATACAGTTTGATCAGTAATACAGAGATCTTCCAAGTGTCAAAATTAACATTAATTAAATTGATTTAAGAGATCTCCTAGGTGGTTTAGTCTGCAAATCTATGGATCCCATCAGAGTTTCATTTACGCAATTTATTTTTACAATCAATGAAAGACACACAACAACAATGCCCAGATGTTTTAGAAATGTGTAAAGTATATATATAATTTTTTATCAGAATTAATTTGAAAAAGCAGTGAGGAGATCATGGTTAATAACCATCAGAGCTTGTTATAAAGTTATAATGGTTTAGAACCCTATAATAATTAATAAGAACAAATTCTCAAATTGCCTGTACTGAAGCTCCATGCAGATTAATTATAAAGCTTTAATATATTTTAACTTGTTGGTCATATTTTAATGAGTATTTAGCATGTTTTTTTTTTCACATCTTTCTATGATCTGCGTCGCTTTCCCGTGCGTCCTCGAATTTCGTAGAGCTGGGGCTGATTGGGTGCGTTTAGGGTTACTGGGTTGGCGTAGAGTTCTCTGCATTAATTCTGCAACCATGAACCATGGCCGAAGGGCAGGGGCCGGTTTGATCCTTTGCCTACAGTTTGGAACAAACCAACTCAATAACAAATTATCTGAATTGAATGCACTTTGGAAGCTTATCTGAGCACTTTCAACGTTTAGAAGTGAAGTAGTTGGGGCCCTTTACCGTTATGAACGGTTGTGAGTTGTGACACTCCGGCAATGGCGGGACGGGATTACTGAGGTTACAATCTCATCACCACGGATCTCGGCCTTCTTCTTGGGTAAGTGGGGTCCTTCTGTTTATCTCACAAGAAATAGTGCCGGAAAAAACGGGTGATTTTCTCAATACCCATTTGCGAATCCCAAATACCGGTGGCCCGGCCAGAGCAGCCGCCGACGTCGACGGCTCAAGAAGTTGGTGGGGATGCATGAGATGAACTCAGCAGCGCTTATCTCATTCTCTCATAATAAACTATACGTTCACC